GGTGGTGGTGGTGGTGGTGGTGGCGGTGTGGGACGGAACAGCAGCAGCGGTGGTGGCGGGAACAACGGTGGGGGAACGTTCGCGACGGGAAACGGCGTGGCGAGTCGGGGTCGTACGATAGGCAGCGGTTCGTTCGTCGACGGCTCGCCATCTCGGAATCGTTCTTCTGTCGGTTCGGCATCGAGCAGCGTGATCTCTCAAGGTCGACGTTCCTATCAGGCCGGCGAGAGCGTGCCGAATCACACGGAGAGCGGTCCAAACACGCCGCTTCTCGTGCCGACGACACCCCCCTCGCGAGTCTAAGCTCCCATCCCATGCCACGCGATTCTTGTCAAGTGAATCACACAGTGTTGCGACCCTTCAGCCAGAGGTCGAGAGCTCATCCGATAATACGTGTATCATCGTTTCGTGTAGAGTAGTAGCTAAACATTCTCCGATGGTCGGCGATCGTCCGATCGAAATTTGGGTCCACACGATTCGAAAGGAAATGCCTTTCGAAGTAAAAATGAACATTACGGGAACACGGTCGTTATTTATTACACGGAGGGACGGAGGGATCGGCGTGCATCTCGACGGATGTATCGTAGATGGAAGCAGTAGTGGGATCGTGAACGTGGAAAGCGTTGAGCAGCGTTGCTAATTGATCCAGCCGCAGTTCAACGAGCTTCGGAATACGAAATTAGAAAGCTGTTGTAGCCAGAGTCTCGTTAATCCGCATTTCGTTTACAGATAGTACAAGTTAACGCTCAGCTTCGTCTGTGCAAACTCACATCCTATTATTCGAACTACAATCGAGCGAAACAGAAATAACTACTTAGTTAGAGGATTAGTGTTATTCGTGGAATTCATGAGTTGCCAGTATTAATAAATTCCTATTAGTTACTAGATAAGTGCTCGATTATCCAAACTATCTTCTGGCTTGTTCGAATAAATGGGATTCTGCTGTAGTATAGCTGTTTTCGAAGAGACAAATTATTTTAAAAGCTTTGAGTTGATATTGTACGATCCTAAATGAGAACTCTAGGTACACATACTTTGTCAATGAAACTTGAGAACTTTCACTACCGGTTGACTTTACGACCTCGCTATATCGCTTCCATTTATTACGTTATACATATACTGTATCCTCGGGATGGAAAAGCGGCAGCCTCTTTAGTTCCTCGATGCAAAGAAACTTTGCGTCTTTCTCTCCCTCCCTCTGTTCCTGTCATCCCTCTTTCCTTCACTCCCTCTTCTTCACCCTTTCTCTTCTACCAGATATCCGTTTCATATCTCGATAAATAACGTCACTAACGACATTACAAGGACCAGCGCTTTCAGTAGATGAACCATTAAAGTCCCTAAGTGCGAGACACATCGTGAAACTTTATTATTATTTTTGCGCGTGCGCGGAAATCGATCGAAAAGGCAAGGAGGAACGGTGACGGTAAAGGAGAGTGATCGTGTATTTCGAAATTTCCAACTGACATGCGACCTGATTTAAACGGAGTAACAAGCGACTAGCTTTGAATGTTAGAGGAAAAGTCGTTCGAACACTTTGTCTTCCGCGTTTTTTCTTTCAGCGTTAGTATCTATTGCTGTTGATAATATCGTCGATTCGATCGAAGCACGCCCCGCTGTAATAGAAATGTTGTCACGCTTGATATTCAAAAGGATGAGCGATTAGAACAGAGAATAATGGAGAAAGAGCGGAACAAATGGAGAAAGTATGGACGAAAATGTTACGTTTGTAGAAAATGGAAATTTTA